CAGTAGACCCAATAATTCCTTCTCCCTGGTTTATTTGTGAATGCCATCACAATTGTATCTTTGGTTGAGACGTCAAGCTCCTGCTGCACTCAACCACTAAAAATCGATGGCATTAAACTAAATGTGGAGGATTCATCTCTAACTCATGCAGCTCATGCAGACACACATCTACCTTTTGCACAGCATAATTCGCAGTTGGTGTGTTTATGTTTATCCACCTTTTGCTGTTGTGCTATTGAGACCATTTAGTGCACGTTTCTGCTCTTCTTCTATTTCTTTTATGCCTAACACTTCTTGTTTATTATCCATATTACATGCAAAATAAGAGATGGGGAAGGGACCAGGAGATTTGGGTGCAGACGGACACAGTATTGAAGGATTTTGGAGCTCCTTGTCCTAGTTTGTCAGGGGAGGGGATTCTTGCATGAGTGTGCGGTACAGTCTAAGTGGTAAATTATTCAGAACAGCTTCCTTTAGACATGCTCCCATTAGGTGGAATTTTGTACACACATCTGGAGAGGCTTAACTGACACACTAGCCTGCTTTTAAATTACTTTAAGTTTATACTACTGGCTCAGGAAATGTCTCCTTAGATTAATATTTTGCAGAGCGCTCCCTATTTACCTGCCTCCGGATGATCTTACCGTGTACTTTGGCATCCAACAGAACAAAAGAGTGAGGTGTGATACAGATGCACTTAGTCACACTCTCAAATGAACAGCTGATGTTATCAACTGTGTGACAGCTTGGAGTTGGAGAGAGGTAAAAAAGTAGATACCGATGTCTGAATTGCCACTTCAGGCTCCAAAAGCAATCTCTTTTTCTGATTCACATTGGGAATGGAAAAGAGCCAAAAAAGAGTCAAAAGTATTTAACCAAACTTATTTTTAAAAAGGCTATTAAATCCTACCTTCTTTTAGACAAGTCTACTGAAGGAAACTGGAAGAAAAGGCTTTGGTACAGTGCCAGATAGTAATAAGGGGAGATATGGTAATGAAAGACAGTCTTGAGACTAAGTTGAGGCCACTCATCAATGAGTTCAGTAATCATGTTGAGGTAATATTGCAGTTTGCCTTTAGGTATGAGAGAAATAAATGAAAATCAACATCAATGCACTGTTTGCACACTACTTGCTATAATAAAAAAGAAAAACAGTTATTAAAAGCATAAAAAAAGGATTTATAATGACAGAAACGTACACCCCTGTGGTCATGTTTTGTTATACTTTTAAAAGCTTAGTCAATTCAGTTTTTAATTCTGTTCATTTCTATAGCTCTTTTATTCAACAAATGTCATCTTAAGACACTATACGATGTCAATGTATTTAGATCATACAGTTAGACTGGTAAAACATTTTTTATCTAAGGTAAACCAGCTGATCACGTTGATTCATTGACTTTGCAGGACTCACTCCTCCTGGATAAAGCATGTATCGACTGTGACATTCATTTGCAGTTCATTGTTGAGTCCACAGTAATCCCTCATGCATACATTCAGTGACAGCGTGGAGGAAAAATTCCCTTTTTTACAGGAAGTAACCTCTAGCAAAACCAGGCTCAGTGTGAGTTGCTCTCTGCCAATTGGTGGTTTAAGTTGATAGAAGCAGACATACCAAAGGATATAGAAGCAATTATCAATAAAAAAAAGCTTGTGTTAGAAAGAGTAACAGTAAACTTTCTCCAGGTGCCTATGTCTAAGAAAGATACAGCCAAGCAGAAGAGCTATGAGGTGATCCTCATACCAAAAGGGATGAAAGAGAACACTTACAGTGAGTCACAGTAAAAGCTGAGCCTAAAACTATATCTAGGAGAAAAACAGTACTGAACACTGAAAAACTGTCCAAGCTCTATTATTAGCCCCAGAATGGTGTCACACCCAATACAGAGAGCAGACAGATAGACATTCGTTGGACCCTGAGGAGCAATGGAGCGGACTGTGACTTAGATTTCTGAAAGGGACTTGAATGGCACATGTGGAAGTTTTTCACCTGCTCATTGTGAACTCAGTTAATCCTTCTAGGGGGAGAAGGCCAGGCATCCAGTCACACAGGAAGGCTTCCTGCCAAAAGGCAAAGACAAAAAACAATGTTAGACTCAGAGAAACAAAGGCTCAGATTAGACTCAGCTAAACTCAGCTTGGCTAGAGCAGTGTTTTTCAATCCTGGTCCTCAAGGCAGCCTGCCCTGCATGTTTTAGATTTTTCCCAGCTTTCACACACCTGTTATCAATTGATAGCAGATTATCAGGCTTTGCTGAACTGCAATCATCTGAATCAGGTGTGCTGAACCTCAAAAACATCCAAAACATGCAGAGCAGGGTGCCTTGAGGACCAGGATTGAAAACACTGGGCTAGAGTACCCAAAACTGGCAAACACTCTGGCGTTGAGGTAGTGACAGTCCACCACTCAAAAACTTTTTAGTGATGAACCAACGAGTCGTAGGTGTGCAGGAAGGCCACAGGGCACCACCTGGTGGTGAGGGAGAGAAAAAAACACAAACAACCCTCAAAAACTGGATTCCTAACAAAGCATCCATTCAGATAGAGTTTAGGATGGGCGCTTCAGTGAACATGTTCATACTATATTCTCAGCACTATTCGAGTCTCTTTAAATCCCTTTCAGACTTCTCTTCATTATTTTTAAAATGACACTAAGATGTTAACTTGCTTAGCTCCAGTAACTTCTTATTTACCCACTGTCTGGTAACAGGTGTTGATGCTGTAAGTATATAGACAATGGCTTTATTTACCAATACACTGAGAAATAAATAAGTCTAAAACAGGAAAATAATTCATAATATGCCAGCAGGACATATAATCTTAAAAAAGCTGTCTATGTAACCGGAGAAAGCTACATGTCTATAAACTGAAAAAGTCATATATTGAGTGTTTGCCCTTTAAAGATCACCTTACGTCTGAGCTATTGGTATATGTTGCTTTTTTTGCATATAAAAAATATGAACTGACCTGATGTGCATGGCTTCAATATTATATATGTATATCTAGAAAGGCTTGACCAGCATTGCACGTGGTCCGTCATAGTCTTGATTTAGTCCAGAAATAGTTGTTGAAAATTGGGCTGTGTTGGGTTGGTCTGATTTGGTCCCACTTAAGTCCAGTTATAGACGTTGAAAAGATGTTGCGAACCCAGTTTTCAGGGGAAAAGCCTGATGTCCCCATGTCTTACTTCGCCAGGGTAAGACGAGGAACAAGCACTGAGGGACTGCAGAGGGAGTGTATTTATGGCTGACTGAACAAAGGAATACTAACGAGCTGATAAGGAGCAGGTGTGAGCAGAGCTGAGGGAAAAGAAAACACAAGGGGGGAACAGAGGACAAGCAAAGAAAAACCTAAGAAACTTAAATAAATCCAGAACACAACAATAAAGCTAGAAAACAAAGAAAAAAATGGATAAACATGAAACAGAAAACTTTGGCTACGTTCACATTGCGCTGGCCTGTGACGTCATTGCGTCCTCTACTGCGCATGCAGGACACTTGTGTTGTATGACTGCAGTTCACACAGGAGATCACATACGCAAAAAAAATCCGCGGAAAAATCGGAATTGAGCATCAAGGCCTGCAGTGTGAACGTAGCCTCAGAGAAAGCCAACAAAACCGCGATCGTTACAAGAAGTAGGAAGAAAATAAGTAATGGAGTAAAGTATAGCTAAAAAGTGTACTTAAGTCAGTGCTTCTCAATTATTCTCTGTTACGCCCCCCCTAACAAGAAGAAAACTATTCACGCCCCCCACTCCCCACTGTGACTATCCATCTCTGCATAACATTTTATCCTTATTAACATATAAAGACATATGGTCAAACTTACAAAGAATAACTTTATTAAATCGTGTTTTAAGTCTGCAACAGAAAAGATTTTAAGTGCATCAATGCCTGAAATTTAAAATAAATCCTTGTATAAACAATATTCAGCACGTTTTCGCTGAAAAAACTCTAGCGGTTTATCGGCATGAATGGGGTGTAACGTATGTAAGTGACACGCTAATGTATTTGGCTTCATGCTGTGCGCTGCGAGCATTTTTAGACACACCAAACGCACCGGTCTTTCCTCTTCTCCAACTGTAGTCACAGTGAAGCCAAGTGCTAAATACTTTTTGTCATATTTCCTCGTCTTAGCTTACGGGTGACTTTCTTTTGTCTCATTATCTTTGTCTCTCTCCACTTTTCTTTTCATCCCTGTTAAAAACTTTTTCATGTTGGGGGTTGTTACGTTGAATAACGGAGGCTATAAACAGAACGCAGTCGAAGCTTTCTGTTGACTCAACACTGCTAACCCAGGCAACCCTGTTGTCTTGTAAGTCGTAAAATGTTGCACTGTCGCAAACGTGACAGAAGTAACAATGAGAGCGCCACTGCTGCCTACTGTAGTGGATGCGCAATTACACTTTATACTATTACAGCCCAAAAAAAAAAAGCCTGTTCCCCAGGGTCCCGTACCCCCCTACAAGGTATTGCACCACGTGCCCCAGTATTTGAGAGGCACTGACTTAAAGGAA